ACTCTTGTGGGTATCATTGGAACAATTACATTCTATAACTAGCATATTCACATATATGACGAAAATATCATCAATGCTAAAATGTTCAAAAGAGATAAACGAATCGATTTACACAAGACTCCATGCATTAATCTTGGTTTACTATATTATTATTATTATTATTATTTCCTTTGATTTCTGTTATATACACATTTCCTACTCGGTCCTAACCAGAGACCTATTGTTAGAAAATGGCTTCATGATCATAAAATAAAATAAATAAATAAAAAATAACAACGCACACGTTTTACATCGTAATGTGAGAGCTGTACTTGTGAGAAAGATTTTTTGCATTTCTTCGAGGCATGGGCTAACAAAAATCAAATCAATCTGAGGGCTTCAATTACAAATGGAATTAAGGATGTCCTCATGTGCTAAATCTTTTAGATTTCCACTTCAAGATCCTTGATTTTGATGTTTTTTTAAGATCTTCAAAAATACATTACAATCTGCAGGAACTGCCATGACAATGAGAAAATACATTCTGTTCTTGTGGTCTTTGATCACGATGTCTGGGCGGTTAGCTTTGATTGTTCTGTCAGTGTGTATTGTGTAGTCCCATATAATTGTAACAGGTCCTATCTCCATAACCGGGTCTGGGTGGTGTTCATACCAGTTTCTTTCAGTTTCCTTCCCGTAGAAGTTGCAGATTTTCCAGTGCAGATATTGGCCCACTCTGTCATGTCGGGTTTTATATTCAGTGGGTGCCAACATCGTGCAACCTGATACAAGATGATCAATCGTTTCTGGATATTTATCACAGAATCTGCATTTTGGGCTGACACAATATTTTAGTATATATGCTTGATAATTCCTAGTTAGCAAGCATTGGTCCTGCGCAGCAAGGATAAAAGCTTCAGTTTCAGCTTTCAACCCTGCTCTACGTAGCCACTGATGGGTACGGGTTTTGTCTACGCCAGCTTGTTTGGTACGGGCAGAGTATTGGCCATGAAGCGGTTTATCTTGCCATCGCTTCTGTATCTGGTCGGTTGCATTCGTCTTTGCTGTCTTTTTTAGGTATTTTGCAGTTTCAGCCGGTGTATTGTGTTGTAGTTGCATTCTCTATTTGAAACTCCATTTTGAATTTGTTGGCTTCTTTCATTACGGAGTAAAGACGCTTACTACTTTCATGTTCCTTGACGCATACCATCATCCAGTCTTCTGTAGTTTCCAAATATCTTTGGAGGCCAATTTTTTTAGTTTTGTAGGACAGTTCTAGTTGAACTAATCCTCTGCCTCCTTCGGATCTGGGCACATACAGACGATCAACATCAGCTTTGGGATGATGCATGCGATAGCAAGTGAGAAGCTTTCTCGTTTTGGCGTCCATTCGCTTAATTTCAGCTATGGTCCAGTTAAGGACATTAAAGCTGTATTGCATCACAGGGACATCTAATGTGTTTATGGCTGATATTCTGTTTTTTGAGTTTAGCTCAGTATTTAGTACCAGACGTACACGCCTGTAGTACGCTTTTCTTTTCTTTTCTTTTTTTTTTTTTTTTGTATCCGCATTGACAGGGATCATATTTTATTATTATTATTATTATTATTATCATTATTATTATTATTATTATTATTATTATTTTCTTTTATTTCAGTGGGCTGTACTTGTGAGAACAATTCTTTTTGTATTTCTTTAGGGCATGGGCTGCCAGGAATCCCTTCACTGAGTGTAATGTTATCTTTTCCAACTACAACAGGAATTGTTGATGTTATCATGTGCCATATTTTTAAGATTTCAATTTTAAGATTCTTGTAATTTCATAGTTTTCTTAAAGATTTTCAAAGATATACTGCAGTCTGCAGAGACTGTCATGTCAATAAAGAGGCACATTTTGTCTTTGCTGTTTCTAATCACGACGTCAGGACGATTAGCTTTCATTGTTCTTTCTGTGTGGATTTTAAAGTTCCATAAAATTTTTACAGGTCCTATCTTCGTAACCGGGTCTGGTTGGTTTTCATACCAATTTCTTTCAGTTTCCTTTCTGTAAATGTTACAGACTTTCCAGTGCAGTTATTGTCCCACTCTCTCGTGCAGGGTTTGAGATTCACTGTGCAACCAGATACAAGATGGCTAACTGTTTCTGGATATTTATCACAGAATCTACATTTTGGGATAACTCATTTTTTTCAGTATATGTGTGCTTGCTAATTTCTGATGGGTACGTGGTTTGTCAACATTATTATTATTATTATTTCCTTTGATTTCTGCTGTATACTCATTTCTTTCGGGGTCCCAACCAGAGACCTAAAATCAGAAATGATATCATGACATTTTCCACTGAGCATTTTTTGAGAAAAAATTCTAAGATCACACACATATTACATTGATAAAACCCTCTGTAATTTGTATTTCTTTAAGGATTGACCTACCAAGAATCCCTTCGATGAGTCTATCGGAACATTTTCCAATCAATCTGAGGGTTCCAACTACACCTGGAATTGTTGATACCCTCGTGTACCACATTTTTATGATTTCGATTTCAAGATCTTTGTATTTTGATAGCTTTTTGAAGATTTCCAAAGATACGTTACAATCTCAAAGGTCTGCCATGTCAATAAGAAAGCATTTTCTTTTTACGGTTTCGGATCACGATATCTTGGCAATTTGCTTTGATTGTTTATTATTATTATTATTATTATTATTATTATTATTGTTGTTGTTGTTGTTGTTGTTTTGTGCTTGAAGTCTTTGCCTGTGTAGTATAAGTTAACCGCGTATCTGAACTAGAGGCTTCAAGAAACAATAAGTTTTTTGTCTCAAAAGATTCAAACAGATGAGGTGACATACAATCAGAGAGAAAAATTTACTTGTAGTCACTGCATGGATAGAAATCTACACATGATCTAAAAAGTAACCCATGAGTAGGATTTTTTCAATTCATATATTTTAGGGTTCGTCAGGAATTTGTTCCCCATGCACTGCGTGCCAAATTATTATCGAGAAAACTTTTTTTCTAATATTTCAAAAACCGTCCAATCAATTCACACAAAATTTTCACTCGATAATAATTTGGTACGCAGTGTATATTTGCTTGCACTTTTGATATCATTCACTAAGTTTCAATAACATCAGGAAAATATTGTTTTTAGATATAAGAGCAGATCTAGTGACTAAAATCTCCTCAGTACTCCAGCAGTTAGTATTTTAGTTGTTTTCTGTAATGACCCCTTTTGCACCGTCTTTTCAATATTGGTTTCCAATGTGCTGATAACGAGTGACACATACCTATTCTTGAATTTATTATTCTACTTAGAATTTATCTTTCCATATCTTTTCTCTGATCTACTGGAACTTCGGAGCCAACAACTATTTTTTGATGGCTACCAAATCTGACCGTCTTGTCTAAATTCACTTGAATCACTTGAAAGTACCTGCGGATTTTAAGTTTCATTTTCTAGCATTGATTCTGGTCTCTGTATAGACCATTTGTCTGTGTCATCAAAATGCAATCACTTGCACAGTTCTCGTTGATCACCTTCCCCACACAACATAATTATAACATAAATATGTTATAAAATCACTACAAAAATAGCTATTTTGTTTCAACACCTCTGGTGTCTTATCAAGTGATGATGTTGAATGTAGATTATAGAACCTACAATCTACATTTTACCATCAACAAACATCATCACTTGATAAGACACCAGAGGTGTTGAAACAAAATGGCTATTTTTGTAGTGATTTTATAACATTTATGTTATAATTTTTAAATAAATAAATTATATATATATATATATATATATATATATATATATATATATATATATATATTATGATATTTTATTTAGTAGATAATAATAAAACATTTTACATCCCTACACAAAAGCTTTCATGTTTCAATACTATGATTGTATTTCCTCAGGCGATGGTTAAGTATCTACCATCACTTGGGAAGTACAATTATAGCATTGAAACGTGAAAACTTTTGTGTAGCGATATAATTTTCTTTTTATTATAATCTATTATATATATATATATATATATATATATATATATATATTAATGAAAAACAGACCATTTTAAGATTCCATTATAATAATTTATTTCACCAGAGCCATTCTTTTGGAAGTGCTATCTGATGATCTAGAGTGTTGTTATTGTTCAAGGCTATAATAGCCGAGAAAAAATAACAGCACTCGTGGCCCTGACGATTGCGTCTAGCATGAAACAGGCTGTCGCCTCTAAGTGTTGACTTTATGTTCACTCTTTATATATATATATATATATATATATATATATATATATATATATATATATATATATATATGTTTTATCAAAATTACTTCTACAAACTTTGGGGACAGGATATATATAACCGATGGAATTTAAAAGACACTAATTTGTGTAAGACGGCTGAAAACAATAAAATAAGCAAACTTTAAAATGGTCATGAATTTCACTTTGCTTTCTTATTGTCATTTGTGCTTGTTTTTCTTCCTTCTCAATTATTGTTTTTCTCTCGCTGTCTGTCCGTCTCGCCCAGTCATTTCCACCCTATGTCTGTTTCACACGAACTGGCAGGTTCTTAGTAGACAAGAGAGTAGTCGTGAGATTCTGTGTGGGTGCAGAAACCCTGAACTATCTCACCCTTCCCCCATAACTTTTCAAGTGGCCGACACCTTAATTCGCAAAAGAATATATATATATATATATATATATATGTGTGTGTGTGTGTGTGTGTGTGTGTGTGTGTGTGTGTGTGTGTGTAAAGAGGAGCGAAAGATCAAATATATGTATAAAAATGCGGCCAGAACAATCAGCTTTTCTATTTTTTCTGCTCTTTCTCTCTCTTGCCCTGTATCTCTCTCTCTCTCTCACACACACACACGCACGCACACACATACACACAAACACAATCTGTATATCTAGCTAACTATATAAGTCTGTTCCTATCTAACTAGCTATCTAGCCCAGTCTGTTCATATCTAAGTTTGTTCCTATCTATCTAACTAGCTAG